GCCATCTGGAACAACCATGTGGAACACTGCGACAACCATCTGAAACACTGCAACAACCATCTGAAACATTGCAGCAACCATCTGTAACAGTGCAAGAACCATCTGAAATACTGCAACATCAACCATCTGAAATACTGCGACAACTAGCTGGAACACTGTAACGACCATCTGAAACACTGCAACAACCATCTGAAACACTGCAACAACCATCTCATACACTGCAACAACCAGTGTGCAAAGACCATCTGAAACACTGCAACAACCATTTGAAACATTGCAACAACCATCTGAAACTCTGCAACATCGATCTCATACACTGCAACAACCATCTGAAACACTGCAACAACCATCTGAAACTCTTGCAAACAGAAATGACCGAGGTTTGCTAGTACCCTCAGTCAATTATTTGACAACCACTTAACATCCTATTAAGAGAAATAAAAACACAAATAGAAAGGAAATGGGAAATGCACAAAGTGCAATTTCCTGTGATAAATGGAGGGAATACTATGTAATGAACGCGAAGACTCGACCAAAAATATCATAATACTAATGCTAGACACTTTACACTTATAGGAAGTAGAAGGTCGTTTTAATTAGGTCAATAAATATTTAGGTATCTGAACTCGAATGCATTCAATAAGTATCAGAAGGATAGATTGATAGAGCAATATTATTACGTGAATTAACTCTTGTTGGAAATATGCATATTTGTTTCAAATCCCAAGAAATGCATAGATGTAATAGGTTTATTATTAGGTACTTTAATTTTGTAATATTGTTGATAGTGGCACACAGAAACAGCAAAAGAGATGTGAATAAAAGTAAGAAAAGAGTGTACAGGGAATTTATAAGCTAAGTAACTGAGCCACAGCAGAGGGGCGGGCCAAAGATAGCTAGAGGCCAGATGAATTATTACAAAAATCAATTAGTTTAAAATCTTTTCAGATGAACATTGAAACCCTTTTTCTGTACTTAATTTTAAGTAATACCCAAGGTCAACTGACATCGATTTTTGCAAAATGATTAATGATAAAATTCCATTAGATTAAAAACTATTTCTGAAAACATCCGAAGCCACTCTTTTTGCACTTTAATTCGAGGTCAATTCAACTAAGCGAAAATCTAATGAATTCTGATTAAATTTATGACCAAATCTCAGTATAAAAGCAGGGAGTTTTGGCATAAAAGTCAGTCTTGATCGAACTCTTGATACGAAGTCTCATGTCTTGAACCAGTAACTCTGCTAAACAGTCTAGTTATACGTGATATGTAGTTGATATTAGAAATTGCTCAAACGTCTGTACCTAGTGAACATAATATTGTGTTGCTGCAATAGATGTGTATCGAGAATTATTGAACTTTTATGAAACTGTATTAACTTTTCAAAGTGACCCGGTATAATAGTGCGAGTGTACATCATCCTGTCATCATGTATAACCAACCAATATTATGTAAGCACATCTGTTTTACTTCCATGTCAACTCTGCCTGTCCATATTATGATGATTGCTGAATAGAGATTTATGTATTTTGAACTGCCGTATTAATGTCTATATACACCAATCTTACTCCTGCCTAAGTATTCACGAACCCAGTGAATCAATAACTTTGTGAAGACCCCTGTATAGGCCAACCCAAGAAAAGGGGTGCTTTACAACTATATAAAACGAAAGAGAGTGAAAAACATCAAAGAAGTATGGAAATTCAATAAAAGAAAGAGGACAGGAAGCGACTCAGAGAAAACCGACTACAAAATAGATTGTTCAACGAGAAGAGAAAAAATGTCAGAAAAGTTCCTGCAGAAACCTCATCAAAAATTAGAAAGATTCCCTGTACCGTATACCATGAAAATTTGAACAGTGACACCGAACATGAAGACAAAAAGAATATTGGCTGCGATTTTTGTGAGAATTGGTGACATAAAAAATGTACCGAGTTTTATAATATACCATACACTAACAGCTGCGAAAGATTACAATGTGATTTATGTTGAGCTTATCCTTATACCTATAGATTTTAAGAAATCAGAAATAATGACGTTTGAGTTTTTACGTTTTTTGTTGTTTGCTTACATGACATGATTTTATCAATAAAAGTTTCACATATCGAGTGTTTTTCAATCCAATTAGTGAATTCCTTCAGACTCAGTCAGATTGAAAATAATTCATACCGTGTCATCCATTTCTGTCATCTAACAAAAAACATCCTAAAAGTCTCTTTATGTTCCACATTCACAAACATTCGGATGGGATGTTTATAAGACATCGCAAATGCTGACACGGGTGTTGCCAGCAACATCCCGAGAATGTCCCAAGGAAAATAGGGATTTTCCAGAGATGTTCCTATCATCCCATATAGATGTTTCTACGACGTCTTACAGATGTTATTGTGTTATTAGGGTTAATCAGTTGCGCTCTGGTATCATTACCTACACTCGTCTTCATTAGTGATCATGTCGTACAAAAAGATTTATACGTCCATGATGTCGCACATGGACGGTGTCAGCTCCGTTGATCACTGCTGCAATAAGAGCGCTCATATCGTCCAACCGCGACATGTTTGCTGAAGGCGAGATAGGTATACGAAAGCTCTCGTTCGATTATCAATCTTCAGTATCACACTCATCAGATTAGATGATCTGAAAATGGGATAAAACACAAAAAAATCGAACAGACCTGAAACAGACTTATTATGTTTTATGAAATTTTCCATATTTGGAATAGGCTTATAATAATATGAGTAATACCCTTGATTATACAGGGTGATTCACGAGCCACTGTACATACTTATGGTGTACATAGGACATACCTCTGCCATTAAATAATGAATATTTATATTGGTCAATTCGACGTAATTACTAAGATACAGGGTCATTTTTCATTTTTGGCCAAAATTGATTCACTCTGTATCTTTTCAGTCGTTTGATCAAATTTCCTCAAATTTTATACACTTAGTCTACTAATTAATGTCAACTTTCTGGAGTAGAAAGGGTCGCCAAATTCCAGGCCCGGACTTGGACAATTTGTATTTGTCGTCTCTTACAGATATAGGACACCCTGCACATTGGAATTTTCAATATCTGCTCATTATTCCTGAAACTACATGGATTAATGAACAGAAAAATGTTAATAACACGTTTGGCACATTTGAACTAAGTTTTAATAAAATATTGCTTTTCGAGAAACATTCCATTCATTTATTTCATCTCTTGAAAATTTATAAAAAAATTCAATTATATTTTCAAAATGCATTTCACCAGCATCCCTGCACTTTTGTGCTCGCTCAAATGAATTTTAAGTTACATTTAAAACCATTTCTGGACTACATAAAATAACATTTAACATAATTATCTGATTTTCTATCAGTAGGCCATGTTAATATCCCCTCTATTATTTGACAGAGATGGTCCATTGTTTTAAGAATTGTCACAAAGTATCTGGCAATCAATTGATGTTAAGCCGAATTGCTGTTTTATTAATAATACTAGTTTGGTAAAACAACAAACAAGTACAAGGCGAATAAGTGCACAGTTAGTTCTGCCGCAAACTCGTCTGTGACGAAAATTTATACCCTTTTCACATCCAGCAGGTACAACGGTTGGAGGAAGGTGACCAAATACCCAGGCGTGCATTTTCCCGGTGGATCACAAGCCACAGAAGGACTGTTTTTCGAACATTATTTACCGATGAAGCCCAGTTTACACAAGACGGTATTTTTAATACAAGAAATTCTCATGTGTGGGCAAATGAAAATCCGCACACAGTAAGACAAGCCCATTCCCAACATAAATTCTCAATCAATGTTTGGTGTGGTTTGATAAATGATTCGTTGATTGGACCTTATTATGTATTTCCCCAAAGGTTAACGAGCATCGTTTATTTGGATTTTCTGCAGAATATTTTGCCTGGTTTGATGGAGAACATTAATTTGAGAGGAATACGTTTCCAGCATGATGGCCCTCCGCCTCATTTTGGCGTTGACGTCAGAGAATACCTTGATTACCGATTTCCAAATCGTTGGATTGGACGAGGAGGGCCACTCCCTTGGCCAGCTAGGTCCCCAGATTTCAACCCTCTAGATTATTTTTTGTGGGGACATTTGAAATAAAAGGTCTACAGCGATCCTATTGGAAACAGAGAGCAGTTATTGAACCGAATTGAAAATTATTGTGAAGAAATCAAACAAAATCCTCAAATGATGCAGGGATGCTGGTGGAATGCATTTTGAAAATATAATTTAATTTTTTTATAAATTTTCAAGAGATAAAATAAATAAATGGAATGTTTCTCGAAAAGCAATATTTTATTTAAAACATACTTCAAATGTGCCAAAAGTGTTATTAACATTTTTCTGTTCATTAATCCATGTAGTTTCAGGAATAATGAGCAGATATTGAAAATTCCAATGTACAGGGTGTCCTATCTGTAAGAGACGACAAATTGAAATTTTCCAAGTCCGGGCCTGCAATTTGGCGACTCTTTGTACTCCAGAAAGTTGACATTGATTAGTAGACTAAGTGTATAAAATTTGAGGAAATATGATCAAACGACTGAAAAGATACAGAGTGAATCAATTTTGGCCAAAAATGAAAAATGACCCTGTATCTTAGTAATCACGTCGAATTGACCAATATAAATATTCATTATTTAATGGCAGAGATATGTCCTATGTCCTATGAGTATGTATAGTGGCTCGTGAATCACCCTGTATAAGTGTGAATACTCAATGGTAATACCAAGAACGAACTTTAGTCACAGATTAACAAACCTTTTGTTAATCTGTGCTTTAGTCACCTTCAATTAAGAGTGGCACTGTGCAAAAAAAGGATATCGATCGTTTTCCCCTCTTCAAAGGATTTTATCGTGTCCGCTGTCGGCGCTCCGGTAAATTCGCCTCCTCAGATGGTGCTGTCCCTAGAATTTAGTGAATAGATAGTTACGAAATAGAAATCAATTCAACTTCAACTTCAACACGTTGCTGGAAATATTCATAGACATGTTTAGAGTGAATCGCTATTGCATTGCAGCGCAGTGCATTAATGCTTTTTTTACCTCTATTATATCGTTCTAAATCATGACCTTCATCTGTGTGTTCCGTATGTCAGTTCCTAAACTTTCAGCCAGTAAAACAACATAAAACGTTAGTTATTCGTATAATAGATTGGTTTTATCTTTCATACTTTTATCAGTGTAATCTCAACTAGTGGAATCTGGAATCATTAGAGTTTATCATTTTCATTGTTGAATTACTGTGTTATGCAATGTGCATTTCAACATTCAGAAATAGGTATCTAGGTATTACCTTATTCAATTTCCATTGAGTGTTATTTTATTTCAGATATGAAATATCGTTCATAAGACTGCAAAAATACTCTGAATAAGATCAACTGGAGACGAAAATGACCTGGTATAAACAAATAACAGTGGAGGTGCCGATACTGCTTTTATTTTTTAGCATAACTTTTGCAGGTGAGTATACCTACCTATAGTCAGTGGCGGATCTAACATGAAGCAAACGACGCACTCTGCGTCGGGCCCCCAGACCTAAAAGGCCCCCAAACAACCGAATTTTAAAGGCATCGATGAAAATGAATGAGAAAAAATAAACTCATAAATATAAAAATCGAAAATGAAATTCTGAAAGAGATCGACTGATGTTTTTACAAATTCAAATATTGCCCTAAAATTATTTTTAACAATTCCTTTCACAAGTTGTGAAGCATAGGTCATTTTCGAAACTTACAATTATTAAAAATAAATACAGAACTGTGATGGCGGAAAAAAGACTCCAGTACTTACAAATTTTCTCAATTGAAAATTACCTACTTGCTTCAATAGCTTTTGACGATTCAATAAGGCAATTTGCAAATGCTAAAGTACGTCTGCCAAATGTTTAATATACTAGTATCAAAACTTTGACCTGTGTTGTTCAAAAAACTTCAATGGATTTTGGTATTTTAGTATATTATCGTAGAACAACTTATTTTTAGTTCAAGTTCTGTGTAAGTAGAGTAGGATTTCAATCTCGTAGTATTATTTCATTGACTGTGAAATAATTTATTTTCAGTTCTCCAAGTATAATAATAGTAGATTGTTTTATTAGGATCAAAAGTGACACTTTGTTTGACAAGCGAATTTTGCATTTGCGAGGCGGAGCGTTTAGCGAAGCCGAGCGAAAGCAAAATTTGCGAGTCGAACAAAGGCACTTTTGATCCGAATGGAACATGCTATTTTTTCTGCAACCGAAACAATTAACTCAAATAAACATGTGAAGTGACCACCAATGCCGTGCCATATGTATGCAATGCAACAAATATTGACAAATAATCGATGTGGTGAGAATATTCTACCTGCATTAACAGCAGGTTAGGTTTTCTAGGATGTTCGAATTGTAGTTTCCGCGCCAGTGCCAGCTATAGGAACAAGACGTGGAAAATGTTAGGTTAGTGAGCATATCAACAATGATAATAGTGATTATCTATTCCTCTCCATACTACACTGTGTTTGACTTGATAATCAAATGAAGCTAAACAATATCGTTGTTTGAGGCAAAAAAACTATTGTTTGCCGTGATTATTCAAAAACAAGTTATTCATCCCGAGAATTACGAATGAAATACAGATCAAGCAAGTATTTGAATCTTGAAGGCTTCCCTGATCAAAACAAAAATACTCAACTGAGATGTTTATAATTCCAATACTAAACTATAATAAGGTGTATTTATATCTCCAGCATGGGCATGAAATGCCAAATCTGCTGAAATCGGAAACAAATCAGGTATGCGTCTCATTCCAAATATCCAACCGTCACAATGTTGTTTACTCTTGATGACGTCCAGTACATCCTTTTTAGTTCCTAGGAGCTAAAGTTCAACTTTAGCTCCTAGGAACTAAAATTCAACTTTAGCTCCTAGGAACTAAATATGTTGCCTAGTAACATACCTATTTTTGTGTCAGTAATAGAAACGTCAATTTAAGAGCTGATTTTGGTATCAAAATGGACGACTTTTGTGTCGGTTGCAGAAAAATACTTTTTTGAGTTTGTATACTTACGAGTATACTTATAATAAGTTTGACGTTCCTTTTTTGTTTTTATTAATTGGATATTTTACTTTTCGATCTTTTTGTATCTGTGGGGACTATTTCTTTTGTTTTGATTAGAAGTTCCTGAATTTTTACAAATATTTTTTTCGTTCAACTCGTTTTCATATTGTCTGACATGTTCTTAACATACTTGTTTTTTAATTAAATTTGTTTTTACATTTGGCTGTAAAAAACTTCAAAAATATAAATAACTTCCGCACACTCACTCCACACCCCAACAGCACAAGAAAAATACCTAAAAAAGCATGACAGGGCCCCAAAAAATTTTTTCGCGTGGGGCCCCAAAGGTCCTAGGTCCGCCACTGCTTATAGTGGGTGAGTTATTTTTAATCTGAGAGTATATATAGGTGATGTTTGGTTCACCGATACATATATCTGAATCATTTCGATTTGACCATATAACAGGGTGTCCGGAAATTATGCGCAAACAATCAAGGGGGTGATTTTACATGATGAAGTAAAAAATTCTCTTTATATGTACGTGGGTCCGAAAATGCCTTGTTTTCAAAATACAGTGTGTTAAAATTTTTAAACAAAATCGGCTTTTTATGAATATCTCAAATGTCCTTCTACCAATTTTCTTGAAATTTGGCAATGATATTATTTGTCATGAGGGGCTGATATAGCCATAATTCAATTGGAACTATGAAATCCAGTGGCGTCCCGGGGGGCAACATACCGAATATTATTGTCAATAAAATGTGTGCCACTGATTTTTTTGAATTCTGTATCTTCATAACCTATTGACCAACTGAAAATACAACATTTTGGTCACTTGAACTATTTTGATAATTTGCTTCATTTCCATGGAAAAAAATAATTACCAATTTATTGCATAAATTTGTGCCAAAAAATTCCTTCAAAAACTGAGGTGAAAATAAATGCGTGATCAATGTCCTTATATAGAAATAGAATAAGTATGGAGATTCATTTTCTTCAAATATTCCTTGATACATGTTTGACACACTCTATACACTCTGTATATTGAGAACTATGTATTCTCGATTCAGGCAGGCGTAGTTTTCGATAATACAAAGTGTGTTAAATATGTATTATACAATATTTGAAGAAAATGAATCTCAATTCTTATTCTACGTCTATGGACATGGATAACACATTTAATTTCACCCCTGTTTGTGAAGCAATGTTTTGCACATATTTATACAATGAATTGGTATTTATTTTTTCCACGGAAACGCAGCAACATTGCAAAACAATTCAAGAGACTAAAATGTTGTATTTTTAGTTAATCATTTGGATATGGAGATAGAGAATTTAAAAAAATCAGGGGCGCACATTTTATTGACAAAAATATTCTGTAGGGTGCCCCCAAGACGCCACTGGATTTCACAATCCTAATTTAAAAATGGCAAAATCAGTCCCTCATGACAAAGAATATTATAACCAAATTCCGAGGGAATTGGTGAAAGAATATTCGAGATATTCATGAAAAAACGATTTTTTCTTAAAAGTTTAACACACTGTATCTTGAAAACTACACATTTCTGGACCCACGTATATATGAAATAAATTTCATGTTTTCTCATGCAGAATCACCCCCTCGATTTTTTGCGCATAATTTCCGGACACCCTGTATAGGTATTGAACACGTAATGGGTTCTAAATATGATAGAAACATGTTTTGGCTCATTAGAATTTAAAAACCGATTTTTTGTAACATATCTATCCCAGCAAACACGACATACCTAACTGGCGATTCAATGGCCCATTTGATTTGATCGATGACATACTGCTGGCACTATTTTTCGGCACCGAACATATCTCTGTTTATGTTCGGTGTTTTCGGTGATGAAAATGTACAAGTTCATTGCTGTTTCACTCATACATAATACGTATGTTGCACTTTCAATGTGCTGGTACAATAGTATATATTTCCCATGGATCAAGATTATTACACTATTCTTTGGTAGAAGTCCATATTGCTCAAAGTGGAGTGAAATATTTTAAAGGAAGGAATAATGCTCGAAGTCACTCCACACATTTTAATGGTGTTGTTACATAATCATATAAGGGACATGTTTCGGTCTTATAAAAGACCACCTTCATTAATTGAAAGTTTTGGAGTCGAAACAAATTTTTATGCTACTATTTGTGGAATTGTTGTCAATGCCCATATAGATGAGAAATCTAATTTTTAATGAAAAAACGGGTTCTCAATAAATGAAGGGCCCCGTGCCCTGAGAGCGCATACCATTATTTTCATTGAAATTTCATAATATATACCAAAATGGTATATGAAGAGGGTATTGCCAAAAGTTTATTTTGACAACACCATAAATTAACGGTTTTTTTATGTGACCTTATGAAAGCGCTACTTAAGGAAAATATCAATAAAATTGATGGGGCACACAGCCAGCACGTGCTGTTTAAATCTAAACTAATTATATAAAATATGTTCAAAATCACATTAACTCTACCACCTATATACGTCGGTGAACCAATAAATACCCTGTATAATGTAGGAGCGAGTAGGACTGGACATCTCTATGACTAGACTAAGTATATGATTTTTGTCTTGGCAACTTGACTGTTGACTGTCGAGATCAAGGTCGATATAGATATAGTAGTCGATGGGTATAGTCGAATGTCAAAGGGGTCAAAGCCCAAGGCTGGCTTTTTCAACTATCGACCTTGGAAAATGTCAACACTTCAAGATAACTGAAAATAAAAATGAAAACGCATTATTCATACAATTCGAACCCATTAATTATAAATCGAGTTATAAATTAATAGTATATTATGTAACAAACGTCCTTTTAGTAACAAGTATTTTAAGCACGAGCGGAGCAGAGCGGAGCGGAGCGAGTGTTAATAAACTCATTTAATGAGTGTCTACACTGAGAAAAACTGGTTAATTAAAACGTCTAGTTGGTATTTTTTTAGTACCGATAATTAAAAATATTTGGAATTTTATTAACAATGACAACGTATCCTTATTTCCTACAAATGACTTTTCTATTTTTCGCCAATTATTTGTCATCAATAAAAATACTATTTGTGACAGAATTATCACAGTGTTGTCTATACAGTCAATTAAAATTTCATATTGGGGTTAAAAAATCTCATTCTGGGGTTACTAACAACAGCTGACTATTTGCCACAACTGATGACACATTTATCGTAAAAGGTTTATTATTATTCATAGCAGAAATTGTTTAGCCATAACTAATAATTTTAGTTGTACTGCGTCCTTCGGGACCGCCTCGCGTCTCTTCGGGACCGACCGGCAGAAATTGCATCTTGCATCTGTTTGTCTTTCTGTTTCATCATTTGAACTTGTATCTTGATAGTGGGTAGATCGCACGGTCGTCGAGCTTTGACAAAATGAATAAACTAATTGTCTAG